TGTCAAATCATAGGACCCTTTTGCACCCACACACTACACCACTGAAATCTTGGGTCCTTCGTTGCATGTCTTTGCATGGGTGCAGAAACACTGAGCCAAGGCATAGATCCTCAGGAATCCTCATGATTTTTACATGGGTTCTGCGTGAAAGCTACTGTCAAATCACCATTGGTACCCGCAGAAAACATGCTAAACCTGATTCAAATTAAGATTTTCCCCCCTAATGTAACCACACTCCTTGTTAAGCAGCAAGAGAAAATCCTCGTCTAAGGATCAGAATTTACAGCTAAGCAAACTGTGTTAGTTTTTGCAAAGAATGGTGAGAAACTTTGAACCAGGCATGCCACTATCTGGAACTAGTCTCAGATAGGCTAGCCAGGCTTTACTTTTGTCAAGTGAGTTGTGAATTATTCTTCAGCAGAAAAAAAAATGTGAAGACATTTAAAAATAAAACTCTTCATGGACAATAATCTGTCCTCCTTCAGAAAGTCTCTCTTAAACTTCACCCACCCCTACAAATTGCCCCTCAAGGGGAAAAGCACATTTCCTTCAATTACCATCTGTGTTTCCTCCTGGCATGTCATTCTTTCAGAGTTGCAGTCTGAGCGCTCAATGCTTGCAAACGAAACCTGTGTTTACCTCCCAACGGCCAGTTGCCCAACAGAAGCAAACTCATTTCAATGTGCAGCTCAGGACAAGCTCCTGTTAGGGTAAATAGGTGTCATTTACTGTATTTTTCCATGTATAAGACTATACTTTTGTCTAAAATCTTTAGACTGAAAATTGAGGGTCGTCTTATACATGGAAGTAAGCGGAGGAGAGAAAAAACAAGTGGAAGGGAAAGCAGGGATCAAAGCGATCCTGCAGTGCTTTGATCCCTTTCCCCCTACACTTGCTAAGCCACACTTAGATTTCTTAATTTTGGGTTAGAAAAATGGAAGGGCGTCTTATACATAGGGGCGTCTTATACCCAGAAAAATATGGTACCTCTTAAGTAAGCTTGGTTTCTAGTGGTTGTTAGTTGTATGATCTAGTTGCGATTGTAGAGATAATGTCATAGTCAAGCAGAGAGGTTGAAATTAGGTATGCAGGTCCTAGTCTGGCCAGTGATAACTGTGGCACAGCATGATAGTGCCCAGAAATACGCCTGTACACCCCACCCTGTGGTGGTTGATGGCAGGCCTCCTCTCTGCATCCCTGTGCATCCCTCTGTGTTCTGCAGATGGTTCTGATGTGTGGAGGGGAGGAGGTTACAGGAGGAAAGGCAGACATCGCTTTGGATCTCAGCTGTCAGTGGGCTGAGACATTGAGATAGGATAGGACCCAGCAGTGAGTGTGCGGCTGGTTGCTGTGAACTTTCTCACCCTTCGCCAGAAGGGAGGAGCTTGAAAAGGTCTTGAGCCCCGAAGACACCCCTTGGGAGCGGATTCAGACTTCGAGCAGCTGTTCAGCAGAGGGAAGGGGAGGAAAAGGGAGCCGCCTATGGTTCCTTCCATTACTCTGCAGAGAGCAAGAGGCTGTTTGCAGTTGCTCTTTGAGAGTTTTAGAAAACAGATGTAGACTCGCCACTTAACCCTTTCCAGGGAAAGACACCTGTGCATTCTTAGGGAGACAGAAAGCTCCCGAATGAGAAAAGATTTTATAAAAAGCTTCATTCTTGATCGTAATTAGGTTTGCAAGGTTTAACGTATTTCACTAGAAGGTTGAGGAGTGGAAGTTTTTGTGGGTGGGGAACTATTTTTTAATCAAGCAGCCAGTATCTTCTTAGTTGAGGCTAAGAAGTCAGCGTACATCCTCTGTTTCCAAAATAGTTGTGATTCTGGAGCAACAATCAAGTAAGGAATATTTTAAAGGAAACAATAGCAGCTATTCACCAGTTTAAGATTCAGTCAGTTGCTTTTGTTATTAAGTTTAGTTAATCTTACTGTTCTTATTATTTTATTCTTTTAGCAACAGGATTTGTTGTATTTGGGGGTTTTAAAAAATGAAATGCTTTTAAATTAGTGAACAAAATGAATAAATAAAATGAAATGTGAACAGATTTGTGCTTTGTATTCTCGAAGGCTTTCAGTCTAAAACTCTAAAAAGTCTAAAACTCAATAAAGCCTGGCTCCCAGCCCTGAAAAATACAGCCTGCAAAAGGTCAACAAACTCTACCCAGCCACAAGGATCACTGTACACAAAAGACCAGCTAATGATACCCCTCAATCACAGTGATAGATCATCTCCCCCCCATCACAACAATATACCCATAACAAAAAACACCCTGATCACCATAATCACCCAGTCTCCTGAAAAGGATAAAAAGCTGATCCCACAAACTGCACCAGAGCACAGACAGAGTTCTGACTCCTGTCCTCTGAAGATACCGGTCACAGAAACTGGGGAAACGTTAGGAAGAAAAACCTTAAGAACACGGCCAAACAGCCCGGAAAGCCTACAGCAACCAAATTTGTGCTTCCTTCTGAAACAGAATAGTGGTGGTAATGTTGATGCTGGGGGGTGGGGGTGGCATGCAGATTTATTTCAGCGGATTGACGGGCTGAGAAGCTGACAAAACATTTGAGCCAACAGTCTTTTAACAGTTGAGAAACCCTAAAAGACACTTAAACCTCTGCACGTTTGGCAGGTGGCCTTGACCCGGTAGGTTGGTATTTAAGGTGAAAATTTGGAGGCAGGGAGTTTAAGGATGATGGAAAACTGAAGAGCAAGGTGGCTGTTGAGCTCATACAAAGATTGCAGATTGAATTCTTAGCATCTTTAAATTAAAATCATGAGGGAGAGTTGGTGGGAAAGAACCTTCTGTCCTTGACATACCACTCATGGAGAGAGCTGCTATCAAATCAGAGTCAACAACTAGATAGTACTGGATGCCAACAGACAAATGGGACGTGCTTTTGTTTTTGTGAGAGCTGGGACAAACAAACAAATTCAAGCTACTAAGTTTCACATTATTTAAACACGTTAAAGCACAGCAACAGAGGTACTGTATAGTACCCACTCTCCATTAGAAGCCTCTTATTTTGGGGCCAGTAAATTCCTAAAAGCCTGCTTGAATAAAATAGGCATTCCTTACCAATAGAAATATGCATGTAGACATTTTGCTGAAATATTGACTGTGCTGGTAACAGATTCCAGTAAGCAGTTGGAAAAAGCCAGGCCTTGTAGGAACCTTTTTAAAAAAAACGTTGATAAAGTCACATAAAATACAGCATGCTCTGCTGGGGAAATTGGATAAGGGAAATAGGGGTGCAAAAACCTACTTAGCAAGTAAGCTGGAAGATGATGTTGGGTGAATATGTGTTTTCAGCCTCACTGACCTTGGCAGGTTGTGTTATGAGAAAAAGATGGGAATAACCCATCTCCATTCCCTGACCTAAGAGTTGTGTAAGTGTAAGTGTGATTATTTAATGTACAAACATATTTGAGTGTAAAACAGCCTCAATGTTACTGGTGCCATCAGAAACAGAAACCAGACCGAGACTATATCTTTATGTATTTAGAGTTACAGCAGTTTGACCTTGGCAGGTTGTGTTATGAGAAAAAGATGGGAATAACCCATCTCCATTCCCTGACCTAAGAGTTGTGTAAGTGTAAGTGTGATTATTTAATGTACAAACATATTTGAGTGTAAAACAGCCTCAATGTTACTGGTGCCATCAGAAACAGAAACCAGACCGAGACTATATCTTTATGTATTTAGAGTTACAGCAGTTTGAGACCATTTAT